GCTTGTTAGTTCTAGGAGATTTTTTTTTTTTTTACCCCCATAAAATCCATTGGATTTCTACATCCTTCTTTTCCAATCTGGATGCCTTTTATTTCTTGTCTTATTACTCTGGCTAAAAATATTCGGTACATTGTTGAATACAAGTTTTTTTGTACCTGATATTAAGGGGGAAACATTCAATCTTTACCATTAGCTGTAAATGTTAGCTATAAATTTTTCATGTTTATCAGATTAAAGAAGTTCGTTTTTGTTCCTAGTTTGCTGAAAGGTTTTATTAGGAATGCATGTTGAATTTTGTTTATTGCTTTTTCTGCATTTGTTGAGTTGATCTTGTGAAGTTTCCTTTTAGTTTAATGAAGTCCACATTGATTTTTTTTCAGTATTAAGTCAAACTTTAATTTCTGGGATAACCCCACTTGGCTGTGATGTGTTGTTCTTTTATAAGTATTTTGTACATCTTTACATGTATTTTTAAATTTTTGTTTAGGATTTTCATCTATGTTCACGGAGGATATTATTCTGTAGTTTCTTTTTAATTGCAGTGTCTGGTGTTGGTATCAGGGTAATGTAGAACTCAGAATGATGGAAGGAAGTATTCATCTTAAATTCTTGGAAGAGTTCGTTTAGAATGGATTATTATTTAAATGTTTAGTAGAATTCATTCTGGCACTGGAATTTTTTTTTTCTTTGAAGGAAAAACTGTGGATTCAAGTTCTTTAATAGATATAGACTCTCCAGATACCTATTTGTTTATTTTTTATTTGGTAAAATATGCATAATATAAAATTTACCATTTTAACCATTTTTAAATATGCACTTCATTGGCATTAAGTACATTCACATGGTTTTGTAACCATCACCACTATTCATTTCTAGAACCTTTTCATCACCTCATGCAGAAACTCTGTACCAATTAAAAATGACTCCCTCTCCACTCTCCTCTCAGTCTCTGATAATGTTTATTCTGTTTTCTGTCTCTGTGAATTTGCCTCTTCTGAGTACCTCATATAAGTACAATATTTCACTTAAAATGTGTTTATGGTTCATCATCCATATAGTAATATATGTAAGAATTTCGTTCCATTTTATGGCTGAATAATGTTCCATTCTATGTGTGTGCCTCATTTTTTTATCCATTTCTTTTGGGTTCCTGGACCCAATTCCAATTCATGTGAAGTGGGGTTTCCCATGCCACCAGCTGGATCAATTCCGACGTGATCTAAGTGGAGATAGCATCAGATCCCACAGGGTAAGGAGTCAGTCCTATCAGACTGCCACTCCCCTCACCCCAAACCCCCACTTCAGATGCCAGTTGAAGTCCCACATTGTCACCTGTGCTTCTGACTGGCTGGCTGTCAATCAGAGGTTCCCTCAAGTCCCTCTTCTGATTCATTTAATTTTCTAGAGCAGCTCACAGAACTCAGACATTTTACTTACTAGATCACTGGTTTAATATATAAAGATGTAACTCAGGAAAGGCAGATGGAAGAGATGCACAGGGCAAGGTATGTGGGGAGGGGGCAGAGCTTCCGTGCCCTCTCCAGGTAATCCTCCCTTCCTGAACCTCCATGTGCTCACCAGCCTGGAAGCTCTTCTAGTCCCCTTCTTTGGACATGATTAATTAAATCACTGGCCATTGTTGACTGAGTCAAGCTCCAGCCCTTCTCCCCGTAGAGGTGGTGGGGCGAGACTAAAAGTTCCAAACTTCTAATCACAAGGTTGGGTCCCCTGACAGCAAGCTCCCATCTGTAGGTGGAGTCTAAAAGCCACTTCATTAACATTTCTGTAAAAAAGCTGTTGGAGTTTTTACAGGGATTGTGTTGAATCTGTAGATTGCTTTGGGTAGTGTTGTATCTTAACAATATTAAGTCTTCAACTCGTGAACACAGCATGTCTTTCTACTTATTTATGCCTTCTTTAATTTCTTTCAGCAGTGTTTGTGGTTTTCAGTGTATAAGTCTTAAACTTCCTTGGCTAAATTTGTTCCTAAGTATTTTACTTGTTTTTGATGTTACCATAAATGGGATTTTTTTTTTAATCCTCTTTTTGAATTGTTTATTGCTAGTTTATAGACATGCAACTGATTTTTGTGTGTTGACTTGGTATCCTACAACTTTACTGAATTCATTTATTCTTCAGTTCTTTTATGTGTATGAGTGGAATAGAATCATTGGATTTTCTAAATATAAGAGTTTTCAGAACAGACATAAATTTACTTCTCCCTTTTATTTCCGTTTTCTTTCTTAATTGTTCAGGCTAGAACTTCCAGTACCCTGTAGAATAGAAGTGGTGACAGTAGGCATTTTTGTTTTGTTCTTTATCTGAGGGGAAAGGCTTCCATGTTGGCAAATGCGTGGAGATTCTGGGAGGGTAGCATGCTTAGAGAGGGCGTGGAAGCTCTGTGCCCCTTCCCGCATACTCACCCTGTGCATCTCTTCCATCTGGCTGTTCCTAGGTTGTATCCTTTTAAAATAAAAGGATAATTTAGTAAATAAACTTTCTCTGAGTTCTGTGAGCTGATAATCACAAATTAATCGAATCAAGGAGGGGATCATGGGAATCTCTGATTCGCAGCCATTTTGTCAAAAGCACTGGTAACTTGGATTTGCGATTGGCATTTGAAATGGCGGCCTTGTGGGACCAAGCACTTACTCTGTGGGGTCTGACTCTAACTCTAGGTATAGTATCAGAACTGGATTGAATTGTAGGACATGCAGCTGGTGTTCCCAGAGAGTTGGTGAATTGCTTGTTGTGGGAAAAACAACCACATATCTGGTGACAAAAGTAGTCAGTATTGTAGTAGAGTAGAAGAGAAACACAGGAGTGTTTTTTCCTAGACATGCTGCTTCTATTATGAGCTCCTTGTCTCCACGTGAGGAGGTCGAAAGGATAGTTAAATCTAGTAAGAAGGTGGCGAGTTTAAATTTATCAAAAAGATTTCCACCAGTGAAGACAAATTAACAGTCACCTGCAAAACAGAGGAGCCAGGCTTGGTGACGAAGCAGTTTGAGCACATGAGAGCTAAAAAGCTGAGTGTCAGCACGTGAGAGTCACCAGAGGAAATAAGGGAAGACGAGTGGGGACTTGAGTCTGGATCCGGGTGAGATGCCCTTTCAGGCCATCTGTGCCTGTTGGCTTGGAAGGTAGGACTTTGGTGAGCAGTGTTTCCTGAGGGTATTCTCTGTAACTTTAAGATCTGATGTCATAGAAGAATAACTTGAAGACAGTTACAGACATGCAAATTATACATATAACAGAGACAGTCATTAGACTGTCCACAAACAGGCAAAAACAGGAAATTGTGAAAGAGAAGGAGATTGGGGGAGGGGAGGAAAACAACCATTCTGGGAACAGGGAGTTTCTTTTCAAGGGCAGAGTAAATTAGCTGGTAGCTGGCAAAAGGCCAGTTTGTTCTTGAGTGTACTGTATGGGGTTGTTAAGGGAAAAAAAGTTCTTTACTCTGAAAAGCCTTGAGAATTTAGCTATAGAATACCTATGACAAGCTATCGCTATGTAATGTCTAGCAATGGTCTTCGTTTAGTATCCGTACTGAGTCAGAACCATTTTCCTCATCTAAGTTTTCTTTGTTTTCTAAAACAATATGAATAAAATGTAAATAATTTCATATTTTTATGTAGTGTGGCATAACATATATTTTTTTTATCTAGACCTAGTGAATACAAGATTATTTAATGGATTTTTTTCTTGTATTTTTGGCTGCAAAAAAACTTTATACTTAAGTTTTCTTTTGACTGTGTAATTTGCACTGTCTTTTAACTTTGTTGCCTGTCATTCTAGGCATAGCTTTATCAACTCCTTATCACTCTAGCCCAAAAGAACAAACTTTTTTTAATCTTTGGCATACAGGAGACTTGGCATAATGCACATTTTGAAATGTGTTTTTATTACCTAATTTGTATATGTAATGGATCGCCAGAAATCAGGCAAGAATTACTGATATATTTCCTTGTTGGTTACAGGTGTTCTAAGAATTTAGTATATGAGGGTGTTGTTCATCTTAGCTGCTGCTTTTCTGAATTAATTGTGACAAGCTAATAAGATCTTTTGAAAGTTTCTTTCCAAGCTTCTTGAGTTAATGTTTTCCCTCTGGCCAGTGGGGTAGACTGTATATTATTTTTGATACTCCTTAAAGACATGTGGGCAGTTACTGTTCATTTAAGCCAGATGGCATGTGTCAGCTCCTTTTCCTGGAAAGGGAGAGGTTTTTGGGGGGAGGGTGGGGTTGCTCTAGTAAAACCTTATTTGACTTCTTATAACTTCTCTTAACATAAATTAGTACTAATAGAAGAGTTTCACAGAACTTTGAGCACCTCTCTTATGAACATTCTTAGAGGGCCAGGCACAAATGTTTTCGTATGTAAATTCTCATTTTGAAATTTTGCAGTAGCAAGATCTTTGATGAGGTTATATAAAACTAGTACAGTTTTATAGGATAAAAACAAAACAAAGAATTCATAAGACAAGGCGTGAGTGGCCCTTTTGTATTTTATTAGTCCTCCAAGTTGCCTGTATTCAGAATCTGAGTTGGAGGGTCTGTGGGCAGCGCTCTCGATGATAGTGTATAGATGCTTAGGGAGCCCCTGAAAATTGTCCCCATCCGCTGTCATCCATACGTACATACTCTTCTCTCCATTAGCACTGTGAATTCTAGCTCTTGGCTTTTAATGTGCATAGTCAATCACTGGTGGCCTTACATTGAATGTTGTTTTTTCAATAAAATTTTTCTTTTTTCAAGAAGCACCAGTAGGTGAGTGTTCAAATTCTACAAGCATCTGGTTTTCATTTATCCTGATTAAATCTGAAGCTGCTGAACTTTAATGGCACATTTTTTTTTTATCTTTGCATCCATAACTCTAAGAACTTGGGGTGTGAATTTGGGTATTTGATAATGTGGCTTTTCTCTTTTCTGGTTTTCTTGGTAATTGATTTTAAAACTATATCTTACTGGGATTCTTATCAAAATTTTCATTTTTTTCAAGGTGTTGACTTTAAGGTGAAAACAATTTCAGTGGATGGAAATAAGGCTAAACTTGCAATATGGGTAAGAGTTTTTAAAATGTATTTGTATAAATATTAAATTCATACTTTTTAAAGAAGTATAAATTGATGTATGTAGTGTTCTAGAGGTGAACAAACAACTTGTATCAAATAACTTAGGAGATTTGATGTTGATTAAAGAATAAGAAATAGTTAACATCTTAAAATTGGGTAATTAGGCCTATTGTATTTAAATTTGAAAAATATATCATCCCTTCAGAATATTTAAAACCAGAACAAGATATCAAAAAAAAAAAAAAAAAATCATCTTGCCTACCAGAGAGAATCACTGTTATTGAATGTGTTTCTTTAAAGTTTTAAAAAGACAGCTTAGACTGAACTAACACTAAAGGAAGTTGTTGGGGAGAAGGGAAATGAAGTGATACTTAGGAAAAAAACTTGTTTTTCACATTTGTTGGTATAAATATTTATAAAATTTGAGTTTGCCAACTTTGGATTTGTTTTTTAACACTGATGCCTAGTCTTTACTGGCTTTTTTAAATTTACCTGCGAACCCAACCATTCTGATCCACTTTGCTCTACTAACTAGACCTCTTCATGGTAATGACGAATAGGTAGCGTTTGCTGTCAAACACACCCAAGTGTCTATATTTGTCTGCCTGTCTCTATCTTTCTCTCTGTCTCTCTGTCTCTCTCTTTCTCTCTGTCTCTCTCTGTGTCTCTCTCTCTCTCTCTCCCTCCCTTCCTTCCTTCCTTCCTTCCTTTCCTTCCTTCCTTCTTTTCCTTTCCTTCTTCCTTTCTTTTCTTTTTGTTTTCTTTCTATCTGTCATATCTGTTTATCTAAATATGATTACTAATATATTAAATATATATTACATATGTAATTTATAAAAATGTATTTTATGTTCAATTTCTACGATAATTATATAAATATATTTTTATAACATGATAATGTTAGAACTGGTCAGCAGTCATCGAATTGAGACATACTTCATCATGTTAGTTATATATTAAGTGCTATCTGGGCATCAGTTACAGATTGAAACCACAAGTGTTCATGTCTTGTACGATCTCATCCATCTTCTTGGCATTCTCGGAATGGCACACTATTCCTAACAAACATTTTATTTCAAATAACAAGGACTTATATAAGTGTGTCTAATATTTTCCTGTGAATTTTTTTCTAAATACACTACTTTACATGATTGGTGGCCTATTTGCCTGCTCCCCAAAATTTATTTAATATCAATCAGTACAGCAATGCCTAACAGAAAATTTGAAAAATGTTGGACTAGGCCATAGTAAAATGTATTGAACAGTTTAAGAATGTTGGCTGCTTTTTGTACAAAAGGCGGGCCTGATTTTCCATATGCTTTTTATGGTTGGTTTGTCACCTATTTCTGAAAGATACAGATCAGAGTAGGATCTAAGGCTTGCTGGTTGCTCTGAGATCTTTCATACCGAGGTTGTTCATTAACTTTATAATTCCTGCCTAATAAGGCTGGCAGGTAGTTTTGAAGTGACATCTTTATTATAAGCCTATAAATATTTTTTAAAGAAGAGAGGTTTCCCCCTGACTATAAGGATAATACAGGCATATTTTAAAAAAAAGATCATTGGAACAGTAACAAATAAATAGAGAAGAAAATTCATCTCTAATCAATGTCTACATTTTAGTTAACAGACTTTACCTATTGTGCATACTGCTAAACATATGTATGTGCACTTTTTCAAAGAAAAGGATTCTGTCTTACGTTTTTCACCTGTTTGTTCTCTGCCCCCCACACACTTTTCACACCATACATTTTTATGTGTCAATGAATGTAGAGGCACATCAGCTTAAGTGGCCACCTATATTCCATCTTATAGCTACATCTTAATTTATTCAACCCTTAGTGAAAGATATTTACGTTGTTATTAGTATTTCATGAAGATCAGTGGTGCCCTGATGAGCATCCTAATTTATACATCCTATGTACCCTTGTCCAGTTACTTTAGGGTGTATACCTGGATGTACGATGTTGGCTCAAAGAATGTGAAGATTTAATGTTGATATATATGAAACAGGTTGAAAAAACACATTTATCGATTAAATTTTTAATGAATTTTCTTTTTATGTACTCTACCCATTTTATATTAGCATTCATCTTTTTCATGATTAAATCTTTATATTAAAAATACTAGCTTTTTGTCAAATGCTAATTTTTTTCACTGTCATTGTCTTTTAAATCCTAAAGGCGACTGTATGTTAATGTTTTGTGTGTATGTGTGTGTGTGTGTGTGTGTGTGTGTGTGTGTGTATTTCTTTTTTCCAGTTTGTCATTTACCTTCAAATCTTGTTCAGGATGAGTGTGTGTGTGTCTGGGGAGTTGGGAGTCAGAGGAGAGATTTTCTCGCCAAACTAAGGTTTTAGTATATGGTCAGATCAGTTCCTTTCTCACGGCATCTGGGTGTCATCATATTTAGCAGGACCTTCTCACTCAGTATCAGAAATATATGAATCCATAGTTTCCTCTCGTTCTTCTGTGGTTTTATTTATATCAATAAAATCAGTTCCTCTCCCACCAGGAAGACCTTCTAGGATCAGTCAAGTGAATAATCGATTATAGCCCTGCCCCCACTGCCTCCTGAAAGTACCATATACATGTCATGAACTACTTAGCTCCTCTAAGATTTTTCTCTGTATCCTTCCCTCACTTCCATTTTCTATTATTTCTCCTTTCTAGGTCCTTTCTAACCCTTTACACGTTTCTGTCTTCAATAATCTCTTCTTTTCATCTCCCATCAGAAAATAAAACCACAGGATAAAAGATAATAAGCTCACGTCTTTTATATTACAAAGACGTCATTACACTTACCAAAATCTAACTTCTGACTAAGCATATAAATTTTGTAGTTCAGTACTATGGCACAAGGTTTTTTGCCCAAATTATACCTACTTAAACATTTTTATAGGTGAATCAAAAAATTCTAAGACTTTAAACAGTGTGACCTGATTAAATATTCATGTGTGAAGTATCATAATCACATGCAATATTTTAACAGTAAAACATTTTTTGTTGTAGTCTGTACCTTCAAAACATTGGGTTTTATGCATATTTTAACAGGAATTGCAGTTCTAATTTTTGTGTTAGGTTTCTTCAGAGCAGTTTTTGAAGTTGATCTCAATAAAGACCATAGGGAACAAAATTTATATTCAAATCTTTCTGCTAGTTCTGGAAATTATGAAAGTGTGGATTTTTTTACTATGCAAGTAGAATGACTTTTTTCCCATTATAACAAAAAATCTTGGGACAAAAATGGTTTTTTTTGGTCCTTGCCCTGACCTAATCATACTGCCAAAATTATAATCCCATTAAGATAGCAAGTGCACTTTATGCAACTTTTAGTTTATATTGTTTTGTGTAAACATGCAGTTGAATAATTTTAAATATCAGAGGCAGGTTTTGTAAGAAACTTTGAGGCAAAGAGAATTTTGGTAAAGAGAAAAATCATTTTCTATCTCATAAATGTATCTGTGTAGAAAGTTTTGTTTTAATGTTGTTACTTTTCACTTCAACATGGTAGGAGTCCGGGCAGTTTCTGTAGCCGTGAGAACCTGGAAGCAAAGACGTTCTGCACTTAGCAAGCTTGTCTGTGGAAGAGTTGTGGATGCGCAGAGTGGTTTAAGTTGAAAGCTATTTTCCTGTTTCTCTTTTGAGTCAAAAATTACCTCATACACTCTCTTCCTATTGTTCTTTTCTTAAAGTATCCTCTGCTTTGGCCAGGCTAAGCAACTAGGTATTGCTGGATCCCATCACTGCTGGTTTAAAATTCCTCTCCAATCTTATAAACCTCTTAGAGGTTATTAACACTTTTTATATCAAAAGAAGCTTCTGTTTGCCCTGTAGCTAAACTCAACATTTACAACCATGGGACTGGTAGTTAAGTTGACATTTGATATTATGTCTTTACTTTTTTTTTTAGAAAAGGTTATTTTACATTAGCAGGCTGCAAACTTTTTCTTAAAAGGCTTGGTAGTAAATATGTAGCACAATACTAAGGTGGGCCATATGGCAGTATGTAAGTGAATGGTTCTGGCTGTGTTCCAGTAAAACTTAATTTAATAAAACCTTATAAAATAAAACAGGTAGTGGGCTGAGGCAGTAGATTGCCAACTGCTGCTTTGCAAAGTCTTAGGTACCTTCAAGTCATAGTCCAAGGATGGTAGAAAGGAGACAGAAGGAACCAGGCCCTGAAGTAGAGACTTGCTAATTCATTTTTCCCAATAAAAGTTGGACAGCTGTCTTTAGCTAGGCGTTGGGGTTAAACTGATGATTAAACAGAAAAGGTCCCTTACTCATGAAATTTAGATTTCCTAGCTAGTATACATCTTGTGTTCATCACCCCTACGTGAAGCAGTAATAAGGAGTGGGTGGGTTTTATGTATTTTCCCAAAAGAGGATACATGGATAGACAACACTTTAAAAAGTCTAACCTAAAGTTGCTTACCTTAAAATAAGACACTCCTGTAAATTCTCTTTAAATTAGTGGTTCTCAGCCTTGATTTTATGTTAGAATCATCTGGTAAGATGTTAAAACTTCTGTTGTTCCCTAGACCAATTAAATCAAAATCTTTGGCGATTGGATCCAGGCATTGGTATTTTTCATTTCCCAGGAAATTTCATTGTGTAGCTAGAGTTGAGAACCACGGCTTTCAATGAAATGGGTTTTATGTGTGATAAAAATCTTAAAACCAAAGCGGTAGAAAATCTGTGCTTAGTTGCCTTTTCCTAGAAATGAGTTGGTTTTTAATTTTATTTAATGTAAGAGAATGCATCTTATTTAAATTTCAAGTTTTAAATGAGCTCGTGCATTAATATTTTAATAATGCTGTTTGACTTTCTGCTTTTAAATTAGTTTTTTGAATGTCTGTTATTCGTATTTTGTTTTATTTAATAGTAACTGATTGTCACTTTTAGGATACTGCTGGCCAAGAGAGGTTCAGAACATTAACTCCTAGCTATTATAGAGGTGCACAGGGTGTTATATTAGGTAAGTTTTTACTTTAATATACTGTTTAAAGAATATTATTTATTACTGGAAATTTTGATTTTCCTTGTCTGTGAAGGTCAATACGTTTTTGTTTTATTTTTCTCTAGGGCTCCTTTTATGTAACTTGAAGTTGTATTAACTTTATTTAATATCAATGAATATTTAAACTTTAAAAAAATTTTTTCAGCCCTTTGTCTAACATTTAAAAAATAAAAATCAGACTAATTTATTTGGTTTAAAAGCACATATTGATGAGCACATAACTGAGGATTAATCCACATATAGTTGGTCTGTTTTAGAGTAATACCAGAAACTAGTCTTTAGTTAGCAGCATGTTAATATACTTGCAGTTTATAAAGGAAGAAGACTATTGCTTAGTGGAATCTGTTTTACCAGTCCTGAAAAAATAGCACAAAGCACTTAACACTATTGATTCATAATCACACAAAATTTAAAAACCAAATATAGATTCTCAATGTAATTTGTTGGAAAGTGTTTTTTTCTTAATGCTCCTGGTGAAGTGTTTAAAATGAGTATTGATCAGTTGTAGGGAGATTTTTTTTATATCATAACTTCTGAGACTTTGATTTTATTTTTGTTAATTCGACAATGACTCTTATTGTTTGGGTTTTGGCATCTCCTACATTTATAAAACACTATAATTGTTTTTATTATTATAATGCAGAATAAGATGAAAGTGATAACAGAGGAAGGCAGTTTTTCAAAGTTTTCAAATTCTGGTTCTTGTAAGCAACAAATTAATAGGCTCATAGATGTTTAAATTCATGTAAAATTTCTTGGTGTTTTGCCCTAGATTTTAATCTAAACACTTTGGTTTTTGAACAGACCATTTTTTTTTTTTTTTTTTAATGAATGGAGATAGCTGTTTTGCCTAAATTAATTTTCAGTTATCACACAGGATATGATTTCTTTCACAGTGTGTGTTAATAAAATTAAAGCATGTAAATGTGTTTTCTTATACATTTGTTTCTTCCATCTGGATCAGTAGACACTGATTGTTAAGCATCAGAGGCTTAATAAAACCTTGCTTATATAGTAATGTTAGTTCTTATTTACATATGAGAAATATAATGCCCTCGCTTCTTATTTTTAATGTTTATTTAATAAATGACTCTTTTTACTTCAGTTTATGATGTCACAAGAAGAGACACCTTCGTTAAACTGGATAATTGGTTAAATGAATTGGAAACATACTGCACGAGAAATGACATAGTAAACATGCTAGTTGGAAATAAAATTGATAAGGTAAGAAGTTAGACACTTGGCATTTTGGTTCTATATTTTGGTAGCTTTTGTTAATCTTTGCATTTATCTTTTAGGAAAACCGTGAAGTGGATAGAAATGAAGGCCTGAAATTTGCACGAAAGCATTCCATGTTATTTATAGGTAGGTGTGTGAATATTTATCCTTTCTTTATTCATGTGGAATTTAAAATGGAGTTTTTGCTGAATTTTTCTCCTTACGAATCATAAGAAATACATATTTAGTTCATGATTGTCTTGTGCTATAACATCTAACTGTAGAATCAGGTTCTTCATTTTTCCTCTGTATGAAAAAGGAGAGAATCGCATTATATGAAGTCGTACGGAACACAGTCCCATCATTCCTTTCGCTACGCAACAGCATTCGGTCAAGCCAGGCACCCAGTGCTGAGGTGGTACTTGCTAGTCCATGTGCCAGCGGCAGTGGCACCACCAGGGAGCTTGCTAGAAATGCTTCATTTCCAGCCCTAACCCAGATTTTATGAATTAGAATCTGCATTTTAACAAGATCTTCATGTGATTTGTGTGCACATTAATACTTCAGAAGCATGGTAGAGCAGGGTTTGGCCAAGTACAGCGTGGGCCACATTTGGCCCCATCATTGTGCTAGAACACAGCCCATCCAGTCACCTACAGATTGGGGCTGCTTTTGTGCGTCATGGCAGAGTTCTGTAGTTAGAGCAGAAACCATATGGCCTACAAAGCCTACAATCTTTACTCTCTGGCCCTGTGCAAAAAAAAGTTTGCTGACCCCTCATCTAGAAAAATGGACTGTGTCAGAAACACCTGGGGAGCTTTTAAAAATTACAGGTCTCTGAGCCTTATCACAGGCCTGAAAGAGGCCTGGAAGGCAGTATATAAAAATGCCCTATTCTGATGTGAAGCCAGCCTTAGCTACTCCATGGTGTTTGAGCCTGTCAGGAATCAGGAAATGGATTTGGGAGAGCATCATAAGTGGGGTGGTATAAGTGGAAGGTATAGAGAATTTTAGAAAGGAACTGAGGACCTACTACCTCTCCTGCTTACTTGCTGGGTGTCCTTCATTTATATACATTCAATCAATATTTATTGAACACTGAGGATATAATAGTGAACAAAATGAACAAATTCTTTGCCCTCATGGAGCTTATGTTCTAGTGTGAGAAACAGTTAAATACGTAAGTAATGCTGTGAAAGAAGTAAAACATTGTAAAGAGAGAAGATGACCAGGGTGGGAGCTGATTAGAAAGTTCTTCAAGGCAATGCCATTTGAACAAGAATCTCTCATATGAAGATCTAGAGGGAGCACCTCAGCCTGAAAGAATAGCAAGTATTTCCTGAGGTGGGAACCAGTTTAGTGTGTTTAAGAAACAGGAAGAAAGCTTGTGGGCTGGAGCAGTGGATGTCGGGGGAAAGCATGGTGATGATGGGAGATGAGATTTTAAAAGGTCACATTGGATTTGACGTTATGTATGATTAAGAAATGGATTCTATTCTAAGCACAGTAACAAGCAAGCGAATAGTGCTATGACCTGATATTCTTTAAAAAAAAAAATGACCTTGTGTAGAAAATGTTCCATGAGAAGCTGAAGTAATAGGCTAGTTATTCTTTTATAATGGCCCAGATGAATGATGCTGGTGACTGACTACAGCAGCAGTGACGGGTGGTGGAAAGTTGGCAGATCCGGGACATAGTTTTGATGGTAAAGCCCACAGGCAGTGATGATAGACTGAGTGTGGAGAATAAAGAAAGAGAAGAATCAATGATAACTCCAGGTTTTCGGCATGGGAAACTAGGTGGATTGTGCTGCCGTTAACAAGAATGGGGACAATTGCGATAAGAATGGGTTTAGGGAGGGGAGTAGGGAATCAAGAATTCTGTTTAGACATAAGAATGATTTATCTTTCAGATAACCAGTGGATGTGCTGGTCATTGGCATTTAGGTAGCATTTAATGCCATGGGGTCAGAGTGATCACTGCAGGAAAAACTTGATAGAAAATGGCTGAAGGTCAAGCCCTAGGTGCTGCAACCATTAGAAGTCAGCAGAAAGAGGCGGTGCCAGCAAATAAGGCAGCGAATGACATGCCAGTGAGGGGGAAATACCAGGGGTGTTCAGTGTTCTGGAAGTCAGGTGAACAAAGTACTTAAAGAAACAGAGTGATTGGCCGTGTCACATGCTGCAAGATATCAGATTAGATGAGGACCTTGGACTTGACAAGATAGTTTCAATGGGGCGGTGGGAACAAAGGCCTAATGAGAGTAATTTGAAGAAAGAATGTGAGATAATAAAGTGGAAACAGCTTGTGTAGATAACTGTACAATTTTGCTTTGAAAGAATGGTGAAACTGGGTGGCTGCTAGAAGAGCACGTGGCCTGGAGGGCCAGTCGGTTGGTTGGTTAGTTAATAGGATGGACAATAATTTTGGCAGGCTTTTAAGCTGATCGGTATGATCCAAGAGAGAGGGCATGTGATCCTTCATGAATGAGAAGGGATGGGATCCCATGATCTGGCTAGGAAAGGGGATGGCCTGAGGTAGCAGCAGAGGTAGGTCATCCCTTGTAACAGGAGTGAAGGCAGAGCATGAGGATACATCTGCAGGGAAGTTGGTAAATCTGTTAGTGGGATTGTCAGTAGTTCTTGCCAGCTTGCTTCTGTTATTTTCTCAACATAAAACTAGATGACAGATGAGAGATAAGAGTTTTAAAATGAAGGACTAAAACAGTCTTCTCAGGCAGTGAAAAAGGAAATCTCTAGGAAAGTGTGGACTTGGGGAGCAAGACAAAGTGCCCACATGAGTTTCATGAGCATACATGTAAAATGGAACCAGTGTCCATAGTTGTATACTATTTATCCAACTCCCTGTAGCTGCTTGTTAACAGACATGGAACAGCCAGATTAATTGTTTAACCTGGAGTTCACTTTCTTTACAATAAAATAGGAAGGATACTGGTTTGGGGGAGCTAATTTTAAGAACTAACTGAAAAATTAAGGCAAGAACTTGGGCATAATATTTGAGTAGGACTTTATAATTTACAGTTCTGTCACAGATCTTGGGCTTACATACCACTGTCCTTATGGATAGAATTTACAAAGCTCAACTTTGAGAGGTGGGGGAAGTTTACTAATATTAAACCTATGGGGGAAATTGTTGATTCGGCTCTTTATATATTGTCAGCTGATATTTATGCCATATAGTTTCCTTGCAAAAACATAGAAGTACTACCAGAAAAGAATATACTATGATCTCTCTCCTTGAATTTCAGAGGCAAGTGCAAAAACCTGTGACGGTGTACAATGCGCCTTTGAGGAACTTGTTGAAAAGATCATTCAGACACCCGGACTGTGGGAAAGTGAGAACCAGAATAAAGGAGTGAAACTGTCATACAAGGAGGAAGGCCATGGAGGAGCCTGTGGAGGTTATTGTTCTCTGTTATAAACTCTGGGAAACGCCACCTCTTGCATATTTGATCAGATAGTGACATCTTTCTGTATATGAACTCTTTACTGCTATTTTAGGGACCTTGCGGTTTGCACATACTTGTTTCGTATCATGGCAGTAAATATTTGCAAGAAATTCCACTCACCGGCTTTCCCAGGTAAAATGTTCTGGTATGCATGCACAGTTTGCAATCTGCAGTTTTTTATGTAACATAAAATAGGTGTACCTTTATGAGTACATTTGATTTTATGATTTACATGTATCATGTGATTTAAAAAAAAATCCACCTATCTAGTATATGCCAATAACAAACTCTACTTTTGGTCTCCTTTTTTGCTTAAATACTCCTATCAATTACTGAATCAATTTGTATGTAGAACTCCTAGAACCACTGGGAGATATACAGGTATCATCAAACCTGGCAGATTTCTTCAAGAATAACAAAGCATGATTCCACAGCTTTCCTAGGATGTTCGCTGACAGATTCTCTTTTACTACTAAGCAAAATTCTCTTTACAGGATGTAGTCCAGGCCAATTTATAATTAAATCTATTTGTTCTGATGATGCTTCTAAAATAGCATTGATATGTTAAAGAAGTTTGGTCTTTTTAATTTACTTCAATGAGTAGCTGAGTTGCTTAACTAGAGTTTTAATTCTGTGATATGTACATTGGATTCATGATCCTTTGTTCAGTGTTTTTAGTTATGTTCAACAGAATGGCAATAAGGTTTCCTGTTTTGGTTACGGAAGGACACTAATAGTGTATTTATGTGGCTCATGTTAGTACTTACCACTTTTAAAAACAACACCTTGTTTCATAAATGTTGGTGGTGTTTGTCCAGGTACCTCAATTAGCTTACGTATCGTTTATGAATATCTATCTTATGACTTCCGTAAATGGCTTATATGATACTCAAAAACCTATGTCTGTGTTTTGAGGGTTGGGAAAAAAAGAACACTAAATGACAATTTGAGAAAGGCATATTGCTTCCAGATTTTGATGTGTTTGGGAAAATGCTGTTGCAATGAAAACTTGGTAATTTACTGTAACAGTAGTCAATAATTTATCAAAACCACCTTGTACAGACTAATAAATCTTTTCCACAGTATTCAGTTTTCTAACCTCTTGTTGTTGTATATTGAATATTTTTTCACTCATATGTTATTTAATTTACATTGATCTCTGCTATTTAAGCCCCCAAATAAGTAATCTGTCTTCTAGGCAGGTCTCTATAATACCCTCAGTAAGATTCCGATATAATTTCTTGGCAGTTTGTTTTCTATATACACTTACAGATGATAAACATTTTTATGGGTCACCTATGCAATACACGTGATAATGGATTTACTTCAAGTTGGGTTCTTTGTGAAATGTCCATCTTCGCATGAGAAAACCTTACATTCTACTTGGCTCACACTTTAGTTAGACATGTGATTGAAAGTTTTATTCAGTATGTATGTTTTTACCAAGTATAAAACATTTACTACTTTAATGTTGAGGAAAGGTAGCCAACACGTCTACTTCCAATTTGTGTTACGTTAAAACTATAAGTTTGTATGTTTATGTAGTGTCTTTATTGCAAGAAATTTCTGTTTATTGCTTTTTGCTCCTTAGGCTATATAATAACCTTTCTGTGTCTTGATTTGGTCTGAATTTGGATACATATGAGTCACTTAATTCAGCGATAAAAGCTAATTTTGTTTGACTTATATTGTAACCTTTTATAGAGTTTTTGAATAAATATAGCCTGCTTTCCTGAAATGCATTTGTGCAGGAAGTATTATACATTTATTTCCCTATTATTCTCATCAGCTGGGGAACATCTGAATATAGTGTTTTTCAAGTTCTATTATATTTTATGGTTTTCACTTTACTATTTTGTTGCAGGCTTATTGTTTCTTAGTGGAGGTTTTCTACGTGAAGTAGTTGCAATATCCAGATTACCCAGTTAAATAACTGAGGATTTTGTTCATTTTTTCTTTTCCAGTCATTCGAAGTAATTTTAAAGTGCCTTTTGCAGATGGTGCAGATTAAAACAATTAGGATATAGTGATTTGAATTCTAGGAGTGCCGGTATAGACCTAAACAAACAGATATTCAATTTATATTAAAAGTAATAGTTAGCATTAATTGAAAACTTCTTGGTGTGAGGTGCTGTTCTAAGTGCTGGATTATCTCATGAAACCTCACAGCAACCTTAAGAGATTGTTGTTACTGCTATTATATCCAGTTTAAAGATGAGGATAATGAAATATTAGTAGATTAGGTAACTTCCCAAAGATCACATAGCTAATCAGTGATGGAGCTGGATTCCAGTCAAGGCATCCTCACTGCTGAGTCCATGTAACCACTTCTCCCTTCGCTGTGGCTAGTTACTAGCTCTTAGTATTAACACAGCATTGTTGAGTGTTCCCATTTCTTGATCGCTCTTTTTTATGTATGATACTATTTCAGATTTTTGGTTATAGAGTAAATCTCATCAGTGTAAGCCAACCATGTGAATCATTTGACCTAAAAGTTAAGGTAGTGCAGTAGGTTGTCCGTTACTTCTTTAACCTTCTCAGGGAGGAATGAGAATCTCTACTTAGAGTAGTACAAAGTTGGGCACCTTAACTTCCTATTTGTAATTGGACTTGAGAAAAGAAATTAAACCTAGAAACAGTCTTTTGTTCAAAATCAAAATCTGGGGGTATTTTCTTTTCAAGTACCTAATTGCCATCTACAGATTCACACTTGGTGTTGACTTCTAATTGAGTGCAGTGGAATTGGACTCGATTTTGATTCACTGTAGTTTGCATACTTAAGAAATATACATGATTCTGTACAAAGTGTGGGACTGGCCCCATGCTCATAAAAAAGATCCTTCTTATACTACTGCTTATTCTACCTGTGGGATGGCACAGATCTACCTCATTGCCGTAATATCTTTAAATACAGTTTAGTGATTATTTTTCTGATTTTTCAAGTGAACTGGGATAATCCTGTAGGTACTCTAAACTGTAGGTCCTCTCAGGATTCAGGCATTATGCTTCTATGTTTTGGGGTCCATTTCAACAGTCATACTTAGGAAGTTTTTTTGTTTTTCATGTATTTTCCCTATTGAGTATGGAGTAAAAGTATTTAGTCAGTTTTCAGAAGACATTTTACAAGTTCTGACACAAGCTATGCTGAGATTAATCAACTATTGACTTCATCTAGGAATGTTGAAAGAAAATAGAAAGAGATTGGCTAAGTCAAGTCTTGGAGCTAAAGAATATAGATTTACCCAGGAATCTGATTATTTTTTCTTCCAAAATGGAAACATCTTGGAGGTTGGAGGGAAAAAATAAGGTAGTCAATTTCTGTTACATTAAAGGGGTTTAAATTTTACTATTTGTTGCTAGTTTTTTGTTTCATATTTAGAAACCAGTGATATTTCCGATTGTGTGTAAAATTTGCTTAAGTGCCCTTTAGTTAAAGCTGTTTCGTATACACGCACACTTCCAATAGCAATGTGGGGTCCTGTTCTTGGTCCTGCGCCCTTACCATCTCTCTCACACAAACGTTTTCTTTTTTTATTAACCTGATGAGCAACAAATTATGTAACTTGAGTTGTATTTCTTTGAATACTAACGAATTGAGCACTTTAAATCTGTTATTAGCTATTTCTATTATTTTTTAAAATTATTCATGTACACTGTGGTTGCCCATCCAGCATCCACTCCTCTCACAGTACCACCCACTTATTCTTTGGCAAACAGCCCCCCATCATCACACATGTGGTTTGGATGGGATTTTCACACCTCCAGCTCTGGAGTTAGCCCTGCTGTCTTTAAACAGTGCCACACCCGCCACTCTCACCTCACCTCCCTACACAATAAATGGTTCAGGGAAAGGCACCTGACCCAGATCAGGTCACTTAGATGCAAGGTGGTTGCTGAGGCTTCCTCGGGAGCTGCTGCCAAAGACACCTTCTTGGAAATAGTGTGGTGTAACGATTCGCCTTCTGAACTTGCTGCAGCTAATTTTTCTAACATAAAGGAGTCAGCCTGAAGGCAATACCAACGAAGTAAGAGGGAGTCCAGCTTGGAGCCCTGATGCAGTCTGGAACCTCTGGATCAAACTGGACCTGAAGTCAGACTACTACTTGACATTTCACTTATGTGAGACAATAAATTCCTTTTTTGCTTAAGCCAGTTTGAGTTGGATTTTCTTTTTTTTCTTAAAACCAAATGTGCGCTATGGGAATGTATGTGTTCTGATTTGTGTCGATGATTACCACTTGAAAAGCCATTACTCTTAACCCAATATTTTAATGAGATTACCGTCATGTATTTCTTTTTGTGGATATATACATATAAAGTGTTAACGTCATGGATGTGATTTTAAGGACTCCTTGTTTTACAGGATCCTTTATTGCCCCCGTCACCCGACCTCTCACTCTTCCCCTCTCCCTCCTGGGGTAATCATTGTTACGACCTGGCATGTGTACCCTTCCTGCATTTCTCCATGCTCCTTTAGTCATATGTATATATACACTAAATATGTATATATACACTATTTTATTTATTTTACAAAAATGGGATCATCGTATATTCATCTCTGCATGTCGCTGTTCTTATCTAACAATAGATTGTGAAGGTCCCTCCAAGCCAACAAAGATGCATCCACTGTTAAGCCTTGTTTCTAAACTGTTTATTTCTTTACTTTGTTTATGATTTTTTTTTCCTTAAAAGCTATTTTTTAATATGTTATACTTTCACGATTCCCCAACTCTTAGATTGTACGTATAATCTCCTTAACCTCATCTGAGACTTTTGCTTTATTTTTTCTTTTTAAATCTTTAATAACTTTGAATTCACTTTTGCTTGTGACACAAGATAGGGAGCAGTCTCATTCTCCATGTGTATAGCCAGTTGTGCCAGCAACACACATTAAATAAACTTTCTATCCCACTGAGCTAAAGTACCACTTCTGTCCTAGTAGATTCCCACAACTACTGGATCTACCTTGGGGCCTTGTATTTTATGGCCTCTTAACCCTGGAAGGTAATGTATTTGAGTGTAACTGGTTTTCTTTAATCCTGTGTATTTCATTTACACTTTAAAAAACATTCGTAGAAGGTTTCTGCAGGTGTGACTGCTGCAGAGGCCTGCCGAGACAGTTTCGATGATAGTGGCTCTATAATATGTTTGTGGCTGGTAGGGTAGTCCTTTCTCACTCTTTTTTAATTTGTTTTTTACATATAAATCTTAAAGATCACTTTATCCTTTGCCCATTTTTCCTTTTTGTGGTTTCTTTTTTAAATAAAGAGTTCTTTGTAAGCTATAATATGGATACTAACCCTTTGTCTTTAAAATATATTGCTGAAGTCTTCACCCAACCAGTAACTTATCGTTCGAATTGTTTGAAATAGTGCATAATTAACAATTTTTTCAACCAAAAATTTCATTATTTTGATCAGTTTTTAAAAACTGGAATTCTCTTTGGAATCACATGATATTTCTATATTAATTATGTGAAAACCAATAATTTATTGCTAGGATTTGCCATTAGGAAATGAGATATCTGTCTATTCAGATTTTATACTGTTTTTTAAATTTATAGTTTTCTTTGCATAGGTCATGAACCTTCTGTTTAAAAATTATTCCTAGGATTTCTTTTTTCCTTTGTGTCAAAAGAATTTCTCATTTCAGAATCTACATAGGTATTGCTAATAAGAAAAAGCTGTTGACTTTTCTGTCCTGTTAGCTGCCTAATCAATTTGGTACTTAGGTTTAAACTAGGATTTCTTTTGTGTTCTAGGTAATATAGCAAAAATGTAATTGATAATTTATTTTTATTTTTTAATTAGAGTTGGCATTCAGTGTTCTATTAGTTTCAGGTGTATGGCATACCATACCATACCATATAATTTGTAATTTGTAAATAAATATTTATTTAGAGGAAATTGCAGCCATCTTTTTTCTGATACCATTTTGAATCTTTCCTGGCAAAGTGGTTAGAGGAAACCTCCCGTTTCACACCTGCTGTTAAGGTCTACACACCTCATCTTGCCATTGAAGCAACTCAAGTGCAGTTCCTCGGCCAGCGAGCTCACATCCTCTCTGCCTATGTCCAAGGCCAGGCTCCTTAGATTTCCATGGGCCAAGCTCTCCCTAGGATCCACCACTTTCTACTTTTTTCATATGTAGTCATAGACTGGGCTGTTGTTTCTGTTGTTGCTAACTTCATGTTTTTGCGAGATTCACAGTTGGGAAGATTCTTTTTTACATGCTGGAATGCTTAATTTTAAAAAATGGGTATTGCTTGCTTGTTGCGGGTTTCCTAGAAATCAGTATAGCATAACAGTTAATAGTGTGGCCTTTTGGAATCAGTGAGCTCAGATCCCAGTTCAATTATTTTACTGCTGTATGTATGATCTTGGAGCAGTTACTTAACCCATTTGGGTTTCAGTTTGTTCATACTGAAAATGAGATAACAGTAGTAACAACTTCATAGGATTGTTGTGGGCGTTAAGTGAATTAGAGAGTGTAAACCTTGATGTAGTGCATCTAAATAAGTGTTAGCTCTCAGTATTAGCATCTCTTCTTGATTTTTCTGTTGTTCCTTAAGTCAATCTTTATAATTCACATAGAGGGAAAAAATGCTTTTTTTTTTTTTCTTTTGGGACTTAATTTTTTTCTGGAACAAAATTGGATATACTCATTTGAAAACTTGTCTTTCTAAGGTTGTATAGTTTATCATTTTGTGTGTATATATGTATTTTCCTTCATTCTTTT